TCTTCAACTTTGGGAAATTTCTCTACGATTATTCGAAGGAACGTAGAGTTCTACATAAAACAGTATCAAAGTTCCAAGACTATTCTCTAATATCTTTCCCTTCTCGCATTGGAACATTTCAAAGTGCTCGATTTTTACGTAATGAACATGTTTATTCGGCAAAGTTTGTCGGAGATTATTAGCTAATCTGCATCACTCTTGTTCAGGTTGTGGCAACGGGAAGTACCTGAGCGTTAATCACAGCATCTTTAAAGTAGGAGTGGACCGGTGCAAACGTTTCACGGATATCGCGCGTGAGAAAGAAAATGAGGTGAATATATCATTTTAGAGAATGCGAGTATCAAGTGTACAGAAATTGACCAGCAGTGCCTGGTCAACCGGAAACGAACTCTTATGTATCCGTATCCTGTTTCTCAGGGTCTAATCATAACTGAGCGGTATTAATTGTATCCGGAATCGCTTTTCTCGTAGAAAAGTTAGTTATAATTAGCACGTAATGAGGTTGAAAGCGAGCGACATTGGCAGCGACTAATATCGTCCGGCTGGATGGATATTTCCAGATTTATATGACTAGACTGCGAAAAATTTGTTTCACCTCTGCCAAATGTCAGTCAACTTTAAATCGAATTAATATAATTATTACAAGTGAATTTAACATAACTTTGAGATGCACGAGAATCAGCGACGCTGCGAGGAATTTTTAAATGACAATTACTCGGTGAAAGTCTTGACGCCGAGGCTCGTCGTTCACGTTGCAGGTATTGATCTGCGATAATCTAGCCCTGCCGTTTCGAGATGAGAGTTTCGACGCGGTGCTCTCTATCGCCGTGGTGCACCACTTTGCCACAACAGAGAGGCGGGTGCACGCGTTGAAAGAACTTGCACGAGTATTGCGGATTGGCGGTCGGCTGGTCATATCAGTATGGGCTATGGAACAAAAGCACAGGAAGGTGAATGAAATATTTAAAAAAAAGAAAAAAAAAAAAAAAGAAATCAAACGTAGGAATCCTTGTTTGATAATTATTTTACGATTCCTTTCGACTTGTTCTTTTGCCTCTTGTGCGTTTCAAATACAGAAAGTGTATAGTCAGGCGAGAGCTTTCGATGTATAAAACTGTCAAGATATTTAAAAAAAAGAAAAAAAAAAAA